GATTATTAAAAGCATTTAATTTTTTTTTGAAACCATATGTAAAATTCTAATAAGATGTATTTTCTGCTGGGAAAATTAAGAGAAAATTAGAAGAACTAAGAGATGTGTTGACTTGAACAAAACTAAAACCAGGAACTTTGGCTTTAAACTAATATGTTTTGCTTTACACTCTTTAATGGGATGGTGCATTAAAAATACAATATCACATAGATTTAAATACATAGAATGTAAGTGAAATGAATTATTCTCTAAGAGCAATAGAAACATAAAATGAAAAAGACGTATTCACTGCAGTGAACACTGATTACTTTGCAAGAGAGATGACAGTTATCAGGCCAATGAACAGCAATTAGAAGAAAATTAAATGAGGCAGAATCTATGAACATTTTCACAATGTTCCATATTGCTTTACAAGCTTATTGGATATAGTCTACTGCTGAAAAATTCTCAAAAAGAGCTTAATTGCTTGGTGCTGAAAGATATATTGAAGTCAACCGTTTTCTAGAAATACTTGGCAACTTTTAACCGAATTAGGAAATATGTACCTTACATGTTATTTCATGGACATAAATTGCAGAAGGAAATCAAAGATGGCTGGGAGAGAAAGGTAGGTAATGCCAACATAAATCAAAATCAGCATTAGATGTATAATTAAGTTACTGTAATACCCATCAAATAATCCAGAGCCATTTCATTTTCTTAGAAAACAAAATACACTAATATAAAGGTTAGCACAATGGCAGAATTGAGGTGGGGGGGGGGATGTAGGCACTAAAAAAGCTGCTATTAAAATTGGACAGACATCTATAAACAAGAAAACAACAGGAAGAGAAAATTTAGAATGCTCTGGTAACTTTAGCAAAGTTAAAGGATGTGACATCCTACTGAAGAAACTCTTTGGATTGTTATATAAACAGTTTAGCTTTAATTTAGGACCCAAAAGAGAATCTCCTCCTCAGATTCTTTGGGCAAAAATAAAATGGCTTAAGAAAATCATGGCAGCTCGAATAGTTCACAAATGGAAGCCCGGCCACAGGATCTTGACCCTTAAAATGCTTGGTCTTCAAATGGCAACCACAAAGGATTTCTGTTAAACACAATCAACACTAGGGAAGCAGCTTGGTTACACAAACATTTTGGATCACTGACGCTATGCTGATTCAACCACTGCCTTAGTTTAGCTTTGAAATAAACCAAAACCCACAGAAACTAGGGCAACTGAGAAAAATATGCTGTAAAAATGTCATGCCTCATGTACCAAACCAGAAACAAAGGAATGATTACATTTGAGGGAAAATTCTAAGCTACACAAGAATTATGTCGAATTATATTTGGGGGAGAGAAAAAACTACTTCCTTCCCCCCCCCCTTTTTTTACAAATCATTATACTGATTATTATGATGCTATTCCTTCAAGCTAATTGATATACTAATTGAAATAATATATCTAAATACACAGGATAACGAAGTTATTCTGTATGCACTTAGGCTAAAGTGGATACAACAAGCAGTCCTTGGCATACGACCACAATTGGGATGGAATTATGGTCATTCATCGAAATGGTTGTTAAGTGATATGCCCATGTGACCACTTGCTCGATGACTGCGATCCCAGTTCTCCAGTTGTGGTCATGAAGGAACCACAAGGAGCATTAAGCAGAATACCAGGACAAGAGCCCTCATAGCACTCCACCATTCCCTGGTCCACTTGCCTTTTTCTGCACACCTGGCCAATGTGAGCCATGGCCTTTCCATCTCATCTATGCTGCAAGCATCCATTCTTGCAATTTTTGGACAGCTCCTCTGCAAACTGTGAAATTTGGAGAAAGGCCCTTCCAAATGATTATGAGAATGATGGCATTTGCTAGCTTTCCAGCCTTCCTTGGGCTAGAAAGCTAGCAAACACCATTATTTTGAAGGCTATAAAGTATTTTTTTTTTATGTTCAGAAGGGAATACCTCAGTCAGACTGCAGGAACAGTATTTGAATCTTTGGTACATGAGCCCCATTTCTGCAGCCCAACTGAGGGACTGACCTCCACTTGCCAGGCAGATCTTTCATCTAGCCCTCTTGGCAGGCAGCAGCACCTTACAATCTTCCCTGCCACCTTCCCCATTGACTTTCTGGGGAAATCAGCGGAGAGGATTGCAAATGGCAACCATATGATTGCAGGGTGCTTGGCAACTAGTCTAAGTGCAAAAGGTTGTCAAGGAGCTGAAATATAGTCATGTGACTGTGAGGTAGGGTATTGGTCCAACATTTTACAATGGGCAGAAGTGCTTTATCGCCTGCATCTTTACGATTGATATTAACTGTTTCCTTGTATGATTTGATTGATTATTGTACCCTAGGACTATCATTAAGTGTTGTACCTTATGATTCTTGACTCTTGACGAATGTATCTTTTCTTTTATGTACACTGAGAGCATCTGCACCAAGACAAATTCCTTGTGTGTCCAACCACATTTGGCCAATAAAGAATTGAATTCTATTCTATTCTATTCTATTCTATTCTATTCTATTCTATTCTATTCTATTCTA